ATGTAAGCATTTCCTGCTGCCATTCTGATAGAAGCGGAAATGAGTCCCGCACAGAAACTTAACAGCTGCTCACAGTCCCCTTGGGCGAAGCTAAATGGCTCTCCGGGCGATCCTCCCGTGCTCATTAGGAACAAAAAGCTGAACCCTCCCGATCCGGTCTTTTTCCCCCACCGGGAGGCTTCTCCCAAAGCGCTGCACCAGATGGTGGGGGAGAAAACTGGATAATCCGTTCCTATTGGAACGGATTATCCGGTTTTCAATGCATCTCTATGGGAAAACACGTTTCACAATGTTTTCCCATAGCGATGTGTTTTTTGGAACCAATTAACCTCGCTATGTGAGGCCCCACTGTAATGAACTTTTTGCCACAGGATGCAATGATGGCATCTGGCCTAGATGCCTTTAAAAGGGGATTGGGCAGATTTCTGGAGGAAAAGTCCATCACAGATTACAAGCCATGATGGGGATATATAATCTCCAGGTTTAGAAGGAAAGTACCAGATGGAGGGAAAGGGTATCAGGAGACAGGTATCTAGTTGTCTTGTGTGCCCCCACAACATCTGGAGGGGCCACTGTGAGAGACAGGAAGCTGGACTAGATGGGCCCTTGGCCTGATCCAGCAGGGCTCTTCTTAGGTTATTACAGTGGTGCCTCGCATTACGACGTTAATTCGTTCCAGCGAAATCACTGTAGAATGAAAACGTCGTAATGCGAAAATAAAGTCCATTGAAACGCATTGAAACCCCTTCAATGCGTTCCAGTGGGCTGGAAACACACCGTCCAGCGAAGATCCTCCATAGGGCGGCCATTTTCGGTGGCTGTCTTACGAGGAATCCGTCCCAGAAAACAGTGGGGAGCCATTTTATTTACCTAGTGGCCATTTTGAAACCGCCGATCAGCTGTTGGAAAATTGTTGTTTTGCGAAGAATCGGCTCCCAAAGCAGGGAACCGATCATCGCAAAGTGAAAAAAGCCTTTTCAGATCATCATTTTGCGATCGCAAAAGCAATCACAAAAAAGTCGTCGTAATGCGGTTTCGTCGTAATGCGGGGCAATCATAAAGCGGGGCGTGACTGTATGTTCATGAAGCCACAGCAAATTACCTGGTTGATGGGTTTGTTAACAAAGGCCCCAACCTTCCGGACAAAGATGGTCTCCAAGAGATCATGTGGAGAGCCACTTTTTCCTTCACTGCTATTAGATACCGTTTCGTTGTCCTCACTGTGAAACAAAAAAGCAAAAGAGAGAGTGAGGGAAACACTGGTGGCATTATTTATACCTATAGCTTTGCATCAGGATTGTGAGGAAGCAGTGCTGGAGGAGTGCACATTAATTTTCATTATTGTTACTGATTAATTTCTGTCCTGTCTTTTTTTACTAGAGGTAACAAGACAACTTACAATAAAAGTACTAATATTTAGATTGGAAGCTGGGTGCAGGGAAGCTGCCTTAGAAGTCTCTTTTTGTCTGAACAAGAGACTAAAATTTCTTTTAAATAATAAATAAACAATCATTACAGCTTTCAAAATG